AAGCAGCAGACTCATTTAAGAACGTGACATTACTTACCTGAATTAGTCAAGGCTTACATGGCGGATGTTGTCAATGAAGCAGAAGACGCATACGCTTCCGGAACCCCTGGTCTTATTCTCCTTGTGCGTTTTAATGAGTTTCCGTGTAAATCTTTTCTTTGTTAACATTTTGCCCTAGTTTTATAAAATTTGAGTTTAGGTTCCTTTGTTATGACAATTTTAGCTCACCAAGTATTCCCAGTAATCAATACCTATCAGTAGACTATTTTATATGATTTAGTGTTCGATTATCAGTTGTGGCAATTTCAGGACTGTATCCCAATGTATGACAGAGGGGAACGTGTTGAGCGTATGTGTTTGTGTGCAATATGTTTATACTATCCTCACTGTGAAGTATACTGCCGAAGTCCCCAAGCAGGACAACAGTTCAAACCTTGTTTAGGATAAGGTAACAGTAATTTTTCAAGGTCTCTGGTTTATCAATGTATCATTTCACAATGTAATTTAGAACTATTCACACACTGGGATACAGTATCACATGGTATTTATCATATACTGTCATCAAAAAGGAATACCATAGAACAGATAGAAAAAATGTGCTTTTAAATTTCAAACGTGAATAATGCACGTTCGCCCAAAGGAGTCTGTGATAATGCTGTTGTAGTTAATTGGAAAAGATTAATGTAAAAAGTCAACATGTCTGAAGTTGTTATGAAAGCACTTATCAACACGGGATTTAAATTATTTGTCCATTAATACCCCTTTGACAGGAAACAATTAATTCTATAAGAGGAGATAAAACACCATTATTTGATGGCGATTGACACTTAGCTATTCAAACATCTGTTCGTCTGGCTTCACAAACCATCCCAATTGTTAACACTAACTCCTATCTTTGTTGTTGCATTTACCGTGTAACATGTTATTGAACCTCTAAGTTTACAGCATCTGTTATCGATACAGATAATGCCACTGTGAATGGACATACTTATTTTAGTACGTTGTGATATTAAACAAACTGTGATACACTTTCTCGTCAGTTTGAAATGTTATATATATATATATATAGTACATGCAAGCATACATTATAACCAATCTGGTAATTTCAGCGTTATAAGTAAAACATCTTTATCATTAAAATGCTTTAGAAATATGACTTTTAAGACTATTTAGTCGATGGATAAAACATACATGAAACAAAACATAACACACAATTGCAGTTGTGACGTCATATTTTGTTAATTACGTCATTGCGAAGATGATATGATTACAGACGCTAAATACTTGCTAACATCCATTCTTAATTCCATTGTTCTTATGATACGTTTTTGGCTATCCTTGTCATTAGTTAACATGGATATTTGTTAACCTCGGGTTGGTTGATATAACAATTTTCCGGTTAATAAAAACCCATATGAACCTCAGGCAAAGTCAACGAATATATGATATCAAAGTAAGCTGTATTCGAATGAATTTGGCAGGAATAACAGCTTAAGAGACCATTTCGGTTAAGAACACATGTCTCAGAATAAATTTTGACTTTAAAATTTCCAAGCGTAAATGTCGAATTGATATAGATGCATTGATAGTACACAACCCATCTTTAACTTTCCTAAATTGATACCTCTATACTTTTGTGTTTATTATAGTGTACATACATACGAGAATGACACCATTCATTCTGGCAAGGAACCAATGAACCAAAACCGACACTGATCTACAGTGCGGTTAACGACCTCTCCAATTCAAATTTAAGATCACTTTTCGTGCAAAGGCACGTGATTGAAGGTACGATAGATTAGCCACATATTTCAATTTGTACTGAAGCGAGAAAACAATTAATCGACTGCGCTAGAATTAAGACTTGCGATATTCCGTCGCTGTTTACGACCGTACAAATAGTGTAGCTATTTTTAATCTGGATACTATTTCAAGCCATTGCATCGCTTCCGTTGTATCCCCAGGTGTATACTTTACACAGTTACACCGAATTAACCCGGAAGTTATTCCTTTGAGGGAAGCCGTTATATGATAAAAATGACTGAGACTTGTAGAACAATTGTCATACAATCAATATCTGTTAATTAAATCACGTATGACGAATACAATTGTAAGTATTTGTAAGTATGAATTCACAAAAATAAAAGACATTTTTTAGAAAAGGGTCTGTAAATAAATAATTAGTAGAGGCAATTAATTACGTTGTTAATAATTAAAAAGAATGCCACGAGTCAGAGTTGATTAATGTGCATTCTCAGCTTCATCAGAAAATAAACAAGGTATACATTTTAACGAATTCATCAACAGTTTAACATCGATACGTGTTACACATGATCACAAAATTACCGATTTGAACAGAACTAACAAAACATAAGAATAAAATAAATTGAAATCATCGACTTATGAACACTTATATAAAGAGACAATATGACAATGCTTTGATCACAATGGTATACGTGAATAACTCATTGGTAACTTCCTATTCTAACGTGTAGAACGTTCCTGTCAGAACATTTTCTGTATCGCTGAGACATAGAATTATTCTCAGATAAGAAGCGAATTAGATTGTACGTGTATAATTCTACAGAAAATTGTTTATCATCTATCGGCTGCAATTATTACTGAACAGATGGACCATTGTGGTATTTCTTCACCATGGTAACACAGTGAGTAGTGCTAGAAGAGTGCGCGATAGATAATTAATGAACAATACCCCACACGCATACCTACTATTTCTCAAGACGTTTCGCATTGATGAACATGAAATAGATCGCGGGTAGTTAACTTACGATACAATAGAGTTCACGCATCAGTGATTACACCGTGATGATGAATTAGTTGACTAGTGCACAGGGATCCTACTTCAATAAGACTTGATATTATAGGAATTAATCAAAGAAAAACAACGCCACGTAGATAACAGACCTGCGCATAGAACTTTGGTTTTCAATGTCAATGGTTTCCATCTAAATATATTATTTGTTCAGTTTTTACTCTTTCCAGTATGTCTGAACTAATATAAACCGTAAATCTGGCACAGATGACACGAGACATAAAAAGCAAACCGCAGACGGCAAATAAGAATAGGTGCTCCTGAATACTATGCGTCTTATACTTCCTTAATGTTACTCGCTCTATACATGTAAATAAAATGCGAAATCCACGTTACATTATAAAATATATAGAATATGTTTTCAGCGGTAAAACAAGATGCCAATTTTTAAAAAAAAATAGTGATATGTCTTAAGCCTTCTCTGGTATTCAAAAACCATTATAAGATAGTAAGGTGATCGTGTGCAGATTATGACATGTTGATGTACCCTAAAGTGTCTCACCTGTCCGTTAACAGGTAACATAGGCAGACATCTACATTTAGTTTTATTGGACATGGCGTTGTTTACAATATCGGCATACAAAAATCTGTTTATAGATGGGGTGAAAACATCTATATATATCAACTATAATATGTAATATGTATTACGGATTGCCTTACTTCAGGGAGTTTCTATGACTTAAGTTTTCAACTGACAACCCTAAGGTGTAAAAATTGGATAATAAGACACCTGAATGAATCAATCATTATCTACATGCTAAATCATATATGTATGTATGTTTTGACGGATAAACTTGCATTGATTTTCTGTCGACATGTACGCATAACGGCAGCAGTCACAGATGCAATTTCTTAAGATCAATATTTGTTATAAACGCATATGATAAAGACTGGAGTTGTCTTTTTGAATAATTGATATCGAACGATCGAAGACTATCAAGAAATAATTCTACGATTCATCCATTTAACCCGAGTATATCAGGCGAGGACTATTGTTTACGAAACACGTGTTGGCTGTTTATTACAATAATAACAAGGGTGATGTACTACCTTATTAATAGACACAGGTCAATAGCACTTTCAATGCAGTTGTTAATTAAATGTTGTAAAATCTAACAATGAATGTAACTGCAATATCACCTGTTTCGTTCTTTCTGGGACTAAACCACCACCCCATTTCATGTTTCACGTGACTTCGACCAATTTCCATTTTCCTTAGTCGACTTTAACGCCTTGATTTAACACATTTTAGCCTTTTGTATCACTGAGTAACCATAGAAAAGAAAACAGCTGTATGATGCAGTTTAACAAATTATTTTCTTATAATGTCTCTTAATCTAAATTTGTAGTGAAGGAAAGTATAGACATACGTATCCTTTACAATCATTCAACATTTTGATCCTTCCCGTCATCGACGAATCCTAGAAAGATGAAAAAGTTGTGTGATGTAGTTTAATTCATCGTTTAACTCCATTGTATCTTACCCTGGTTTGAAATATGTTACTCTCTTGTGTCTCTTGTAAAATCTTAGTACACGACAGCTGGATATACTGGTACACTAGAGTTTTGTCATGTTTCAGAAATCTGGCGAAATCGAATGTAACAATTCAACATTACAGACATTGCACCAAAGACACAAGTTAAAAGCGCATTTTGATAAAAAAAAATTAGAATGAGAAACAGTAACGCCAAACAATGGCTTCAACCGTTTCCTCCTTCTAGGACTCCTCAATGTTGTATTAACATGACAATCCTTTGGGAAGAATGGTGTTTTAGTGATTTGTCTGACGATAACATTTCGTTAGCAGAAAATTGATTAATCTAGAAAGCAACATACTATTATTGCTAATGTTTTGTATAGAGGAGAGGTTAAACTGGGCAGTGGAGAAACAGGCGGGATTATTGTTTCAAACAGATCTCGTTAATTATCATGTCGATTACATAGAAAACCTAAGTATTTCCGATAAGAGATATGTTATTAGATACTCCCTACCCTGATGTCAGTCACCAGTACTCTTTATTAAGTTGTCTCGGGAAACCAATCAGAGACTAATGCGGGTTGATTGTAAGCATTGTGTAAACATGTAGACAGGAATCTGCTTAATTGAAACAACTCCATGACGTTTAATTGTATTTGTTTCAGTATGGGATTGATGTCATCATAGTAATGATACTAGCCGTTGTGGCCGGTGTCTTAGCCTGGTTCCTGGGTTCAGGGGTAAGTCCGATGTTTTGTTTTGAAACTTTATTGGTGTTTGTTTGTGAATTCAAGTGTCCTTGATATTTTATGTTGCATTAATTCATGAGATTCCAGCTTTGAAAATAATACCACATGTACAAGTAATCAGTGGTTATTCCACCAAAGTTCAATCCAATACGCATAGAACGATATGTTATACAAGGCAGAGTAAAGACAATTTATCATTTAAATGTGCTCAAACCAATGCTGGAAATGTTATATTTGTGGTCTTCTTGACATTCTTTATTTTGAAACCATCACGACAACACACCAGATTTAAATGCTGACGAAAATTCACGATGGCTCTCGATTCAAAATCTATCAGTATTAGCGGGTATGTAATAACTATATGATTTTCTTCGTGAATATAATTTGCTAGCTGGGTTTATCGCCCCGTGAACAATGTTTTTGAAATCGAGTCTCCTTGTGTTAACTCCTGGCTACCCCACGGAACAACATACGGAATGCCCGTCGCGGGTCTCCAAATCACGTCACCACAGAACCATGAACCACAAAAAATTCACCCGGGGTTACGTAGGTCACACCCCACATGACTGAGCCACTGCGCGGTGTTTGGAATGGATTTTGGAAATATTTTGCATATCGTTAATGTTTTTAATAACCTGCTATTTTTACATCGTTACATTGTAAGAATGACCAAGGAATATTGGTAACGCGTCAAACTATTGGCACACAACATCTTTTAAGATGTAATGTGTTTGATTGAGGCTGTGATGATTTTTTTTATTCATATGTAACAGCACGAGCGTGAATTTATGTGTGTATATTATGTATACAGAACACTCAAGCTTTATACCATAAACATTTGTTTGGAAGCCGGAACGAATCATTCATCCGTGGCTGTTTTCTAGTGATAAAGAAAACTAGTATTGTATCTTTCAGATGCCTTGGTCGTTTGAATCAAGGTGTTAAGTAGTCATGTCGTATGCTATAGCCATAACCTCGTTTGTACAGGAGTGCAGCACGAAGGACAATAACAAAATATCGCCAAGCGAAACTTCGGAAAATTGGCGTTCTTAGAAGAGAGGAATGGACTTTTTCGCCCTCTACGATTTATGTAATGGCGACAGCTGACACTAAGCTTACACCTTACATTCCGGTACCTGTTTTTATGTTTAGTAGATCGATGAACCATGGAAACCATTAAATTTCGTTTACGAGTTAGTTCTTGGTAAAAGGTATCATGATTATGCCGTTTTTACCAGAAACGATTGTCCAGCAACACATACAGATCGTAATGGTACTGGAATATAGGAATGAACCATCAGACCACGTTCACGATGACCAGGAGCATTATTGACTAGACATCCATCATGACTTATTCATAAAACTTTATTTTGACATAATGAGTTCCTGATGAACTTGATCATTAGTCACAAAGTACTTTTCTCTGCTCAATCCCATGATACTGAGAATGGTGAAAACGAATGCAAATGTCCATGTTTTCATTTTGATAGAAATGAGACGCAGCGCAGAGCAAAATAAGCAAATCAATACTCTTTAGACAGTCAGCATATGACATAGCGATCTGCCTTTTAAAACATTATCTCATCAGATTGTGAATACATTATCAACGCTGTAAAAGGCGTGTAAATATTGCAGAAAATGTAAAACATCTATACAAAATTTAACACTTCACCATTTAAATCTTTCAAAAATGGGTTAAGTTACGATTACTATTTAGCCTTTGTTCCTAAGTGTCATTCAAAGATCGTAAACTCAGACTTAATTTGTTGAACACATGTTGATGTCGACCTATTTGATGTCTCCCGTTGGTAATTACTGACGGAATCTGGTGTAAAGTGTGGGTGTGATTACATTTACATTACACAACCAGTATAACAAGTCGTTAGAAGAAAACATGGACTTGGCTGTGAATTGACTGGCTTAGTGTCCATACTCTGGGATCATCGTAAAAACTTTTATTGACTTTGATTTGATTTTATTACGTATTATTAACCCCCAGACATTTCTCTTCGGTCATTGTTCTGAAGCAGAGTGTCCGATATAGTAATGACTATTGATCGATGTGTAGGTATTAACATAGGGCAAAGCGTACCACATTTATTGTAAATGTGAATATAGGACTAGTTACATTGTATATGATGGGTGATATCTAATTTCTCGTTTTAGCTATTGTGTATTACCTTTATATAGAGAAAAAACAATATTAGTGTCTTAAAATAAGTGGCTCTTTTTCTTTCCTAAGCCAAAATGCAGCTTACTTTAAAGACACTAACCATGTATTCCACGAGGGCTGATTGGTAGGTTGTGAGCCTTGTATTGAAGACGTTAAGCACGGATATCCCTTTTCAGCTCCTTAGAATATCTATACTGATATAGTAGCAACACAAGGGAATTATGTCCTTGATATGCTACAGTGAAAAGGTGGGTGGCGGAAGTTAAGCGTGGCAGGCGGAACCTTTGGGATGACGCCCGTCCTGGAAGGCCTGTCACTGTTGCAACCGAAGAAATGGTCAATAACCTTCATGATACTGTTATGGCTGACAGGCGAGTAACAGAGATATATAGCCAGTACAGTTGGGATTTCACAAGAAAGGGTACATTCCATTCTTTCGAATGATCTTGCTATAAGAAAGTTTTCAGCACGTTGGGTATCACGACTCCTGACATTTGATCAGATGGAGACTAGGCGGACGTTGTCGCGTGTTAATCTGGACCTTATAGAGGCAGATCCTGCTAACTCTCTGCAGAAGTTTGTGACGATGGATGAGGCGTAGGTCCATCATTTCACCCAAGAGGCCAAACAGCATCCCCGCCAAAGAAAGCAAAGACTGTTCCATCAGCTGCAAAGGCTGTGGCTTCGGTTTTGTGGGATCCTGATTGTATTCTGATGGTGGGTTATCTGCAAAGTGACAAACAATCAATGTCACATATTATGCATCATTTCTTAGGCAGTTAAGAAAAAATATCAAACTCAAGCGCCGCAGAAAAATCAGTAAAGGTGTGTTGCTCCACCAGAACAATGCCCTTGTTCACATGTCTGCCATTGCCATGGCTGCGATTAACGATGGTGGCTTTGAATTGATTGAGTATTCGCATTATTCGCCTGATCCCAGTCCATCAGACGCCATCAGAAGGCAATTTCCGGTACCCACTTTCGGTCCTAATTACATCATTTCATGCAGTAGATGACTTTCTGAACGGTCAAGAAAAGTACTTCTTTCAAATAGCGCCGAGGCCCTTAAACAATCCTGGCAAACGAGTATAGATACAGAAGGAAATTGTTGGAAAATACTGCAATATGTCCCAAGAAATATGAGGCTCATAATTTATCAAACAACCCTCGTATTTATCCAGCAACTTTGGTAAAAGCGATCATTGATCAATCGTTGTTAACCTGAAGTTGACATTTTGCTAAATTATGTTTGATGAAGTAAAACAAAGGATAGATATGTTCATATATATCTATCACAAATTTTATCAGTTTTCAAAAATCACTTATCAAACCAGTAATCTGTATTTTTGTCAATGTAACCTATCAGTAAATCAGAAAGTAATTCTCTCACATTACAGGAAAATGTATGTGGCATGTGTCTTCCGACAGTGGTAGTGCCAGCTGCAGGATAAACACTTACATATTTATGCTTATATATTTTCTATCTAGATTTTGACATGTGGTTTTCCTCATTGCCTTCCTATGTTTAACAATTTAGACACAATAGAAGGACGAAAAAGCGCTATGATGCAATCAAATTTATTATGTAGGTACTACACTTGACTGAGAGTTGCTATTGACTCTTTCGTACAACCTTCATCGACGAAAATAGAACACGGCATGTCAAGGACAGTATCTGTCAGTCCTACGATAAGGTTAAACATTTACGTACTGAGTTAAAATCGTTTTATGTCAATTATTGTGTGTGAGGTTTGTTTTCAAAATCTCACACATTATTTTATATTCCCATTTGTCTACTTCTTCCTAAGGACAATACTATTATGGATAGATATGCTAGTGTCAGTTGTCATTCATACAAGTTTTATTCCCGTGTGATTATCTCCTGACATAAAGTTATCAGTTGTTGGGAGTTATTACAACACGTTGATACATAAATAATAAACATTGGACAGTTACCGCAGATATATCACGTCTCCCTTATCGACATCAAGTTTCTACCAAATATTGTTTCTCTTGTGTGATGTAATATCGAATTAGGTCAGTTATGGAGGTCTCTTCTCTAATTCGTCTCATTTTCAATATTTCGGTATTAACCAATGTCAGATATCGTATAGAGGTTGTCCCCTGTATATTTGGCAATGCATCATCCCCTTTACTTTCTAAAGAGTATGTTTTTTCATCATCTGATTTGCGTCACGTGAATTAATAGTTTGGGGGTTTCAGTGCAAATGACGATATTTTCAAACTTTTGTATACTTGACTACCCGTGAGAATTACCGGCTGCAGCTGCGTTCACATCATCACGAAAAGAAAGAAAATTCTTAACCAGATATTGTTTACATTGTAACAAATATCATACAATTGATTATTGTTTACGTTATAGGACCTTTCCTACCTTGAGAACTCAATGAAAGTCAACTTACAACGATCCTATAAGGGGAATGAAGCGACCGACCCAGTCAGCTTGGCCTGGAATTATATATTTTTCTCTGTAAGTGATTGTTTAAAATATATTTCATAGTATAACGTATTTTATTTCATACCGTTGGACAATTATAACAAAGTTCTTTTTAGATAAAAAAAATCCATGTCCCTTTTTATGATACCGTAAGAGTTCAGGTACACCCTATGTGCTCTATTACTGTAATGTATCATTACATTGTATCTAAAATATTTCTGTATTGTATAATTTATACGTTGTAAATGATAATTATCAGTTTAAAACCTGTAGCGTGCACCAATTACTGTAGTTCAAGTTGCATTCACGAGCAATTTACTTTCGGGAACTCTTTAATTGAAACAAATTCGCGAATATTAATCGTCGTAAACTTTGTGATATTAGAAATCACGAAAGTAAGTAAGCAAAAAAGAAACCGAGGTACCTACCGTGAATGCCTTTTCATGTAACAATTATAAAACTTTTCAGGGGCTCGGGATAAATTTGACATTCATGACAGGTTTCAAAAAGTGCACGTGAACTCGAAACGAATTTAAGATTCTATTTATCATATAATTTCGATACTTTAGCACACATTCTTGAAAACAGCATTTTATTAGACAGATTAAAAACCCAAAATATATATCTCTTTTATTGCGTCACAAGGTATATGACGGCATGAAAGTATGACATCAAAGCTTGTACAATAGTACCCTTCAGCCAATCAAAACATCGTTAAGTCATGTTAGGCGTGTTACAAAAAGTTACTGTTGTTATATCACTAATATAGCGAATACATGGTCAGTATCGTACAATACAAGGTTTATTTTTGACGAGGGTTAGAAAAGACTGAGATAGGCTCGCCATCTCAGTCTTTTCGTTCCGAGTCAAAAATAAACCTTGTATTGTACGATACTGACCATGTATTCTGTTTATCCTGCAACCATTTTTCAACAATGTTTACATAAAACGAATACAGCGCAATATTGTTTACCTTTGCTTGTACTGAAGCGGCGCCCTCACTTCGTCGCGTAAGAAGATTTCCATTCATAAAAAGCGCATTTACCCCTTTTGAAAATATCAATGCGCAATGAAATATAGTTCTGTTCGTTGTTATGACCTCAAATCATATTAAAACCCATTTGTGTATGAAAACATCACACAAATACAATTCATTTTCTGTAATTAACCGTTTAATACCATAACAGATATAATGAATCAATCAATAAAAAAGTTCAAATTTTTCAAAAATTACACACGTATGTAACAGTAACATGTCACCGAAGACATGTGTAACTTGACAGCCGTAGGAAATGTTAGATTCACGGGAACTGGATAATCGTCACAGATTCTGAGATGTTTATTCACATTGGATTACTGTTGTTTGTGTAAATGTTCAATTGGTTTATGTGGAGAGTTGCACCGTAAAAGATGGAATTCAATTGCGAGTTTTCTTGTGTAACAAAGTTCAGGTCAACTTGAAAATAGTCCGGTGAAAATTGGAACAACTTCACGTGAATCGTAATGACGGATAAAGCACTTTGTACTGACGGATAAAGGTACTGGTTTATCTGGCAGTAGTTATCGGCTGATACACGAAGCGGTTGCAGGATAAAACAAGGTACATACGTGAATAGTTTGATGTACATGATACAAGTAGTAATATCTGCTGTACTCGAGTTAGTCTGTCGTGGCCCTCGGACAAGTTTGTTTTAATGTGAACTGCCCTAGTTTCATCGAATTTTAATTTCAATTAAGATTCTGTTGACAAGACGGCTTTGTGTTTTTTTCATTTTTCATAAAATGGTACCAACATAGACATGACACGCGTAAGCGCCTTTTCTATTGAAAGACTCTATTCACAGGACTTTCTCGTTTGTTCATATATATATATATCCTAGTTTTTCATAATCTAAGTTTGTTGATATGTAGTTCTTTCCTTTGTTTAGCTCGGTTGCTGTGGAGCCACGGGTTACATGGACTTGAACACCATGGACCAATGGAACAGAACAGTAGTTATAGGATCACATCACAACATCACCCTACAGACCACTACACCATTGTTTTGCTGTAAAGGTCTTAAAAATTTTTCCTATCCGGAACCACCTAATGGCGACAACATCTGGCGCTGCGCGACAAATCCAGACGAGGAAAACTCAAACTCCCTCACGGTCTGTATATCTGTATCAGAAAGATAGGGTGGGGTTGAAGGGATGGGGTGGGGGGTGGGGGGGGATACCGAAATTTCATAAAAATCTTTAAAATGGAAAAAAAGTCAAAATGATCTGTAAAAATAAAAGAACAGAGAATTTATCCTATGTTCCGAAAAAAAATAATTGCCTTGTGTAAATACGTGTCATTCTTAGTAATATAACAACACAACCAACACGCTCCCTAATTCTTTCCTAAAGTTCAACACGTATTCGGTCGGTATCAATGGAGAGTCCTTGATAAGGAAATCATTGTGTGATGCAGCTTAATTAATTGTTTGGTTCTGTTGTATCTAACCCTGTCTTATTAACAGGTGCTATTTACCTGTGTGTTTTAGTACAATGTTTAATTAATTTGTTTGGTTCTGTTGTGTCTAACCCTGTCTTATTAACAGGTGCTATTTACCTGTGTGTTTTAGTACAATGTTTAATTAATTTGTTTGGTTCTGTTGTATCTAACCCTGTCTTATTAACAGGTGCTATTTAACTGTGTGTTTTAGTACAATGTTTAATTAATTTGTTTGTTTCTGTTGTGTCTAACCCTGTCTTATTAACAGGTGCTATTTACCTGTGTGTTTTAGTACAATGTTTGATTAATTGTTTGTTTCTGTTGTGTCTAACCCTGTCTTATTAACAGGTGCTATTTACCTGTGTGTTTTAGTACAATGTTTAATTAATTAGTTGTCCTTATTTTGTCCCTGATTTAGATTAGTGTTTTATTCACCTATCTATGTTATGTACACTTCCTTCGTTCCTTAACATACAGTATGTTATATAGATAGATATGCAAGATTAATCAGGAGTCATTTTACCGTTAATCTGACTTCTCAAAACTTCTTCATTTCACGTGTTTTTTATCTTGTATTTGTAAACAACTATTGCATAGTAACACCCCGCAAAATACATTTCATGAAAATATCATAAAACGATAAGAATAGTTATTTGATTTCACAAATACTTTATCAAATCAAATTGATGAGACAAATAAAATACACGATTCCTCTCCCTACGATTATATATTTTTTTCTTTCTTTCAGGGATGTGCAACAGAGCTCAGTCAAAAAATAAAAGATTTTTCAGCGACGCTTTTTGTCCTGGGAGGCATCTACACACTAGTAATGGTAATAGGTTTTTTGTATTACGTTTGATGTAATTACTTTCCGTAATGGCCTCTTTCTGGTTTATTGCCAAAATAAAACTAATTGTCGATGTACCGAATGGTGATACAAAAAGAAAAGTAGACTTTTTTATCCGATTTTTTTTTCATTTATGTGCAATGCACTTACACTCCGACTGTCATATCAGAAGTTTGTCGTCGTCTTGGTAACTGTATATTTGTACATATCTCGTGATCAGATTACACTTGTCCTTTCAACATTATGTTGCAGTTGTGTTGTGCCGTTTCATCTATACTCCTGTTCATAGTTATGGGCCGAAACACGCGCGAGGATATAGACCCGGGTGGCTGTACAGAAACGTAGAACTTCCGAACATCTCGGTAAACTCCGGAGGTAGTGGAAATCAGTGCGAAGATTGCCGATTATTCCCGAGAGAATATGCAAATGATGATATGAAATGTTATTATTCTGTTGTTAAAATACTCTATTTGTGATTTAATTTCTGTGTGATTTTATATGTCTTTATGCCGTTTAAGGTATTGTATACATTCTTAGATTAACAATGTTTTACAGCAACAATTTTTCTGACACGTAGGGTAACATTCAATGACCACATACAAACACGTACGGTTTTTGTGTTAGAAAGCCCGTTTAACGGGGTGTCAGTTTTGTACCGCAAATACGTATACATGTATACTGCTACATGTAATTGTAATAGTATTTTTTTATTTTTCTTTTCTGTAAAACTCATAAATAGCAATAACGTGTGTTCTTGTCCTCTCTGATTCTAAATATCAAAAGTACGAATAGTCTTATTATACGTCGTCTCTCACGATATGCCCTGGATACTAATTGCCAAAACCTATTGCTTTCCAACATAAGATTGAGTTACTGTTACCAGTATCCAGTATCCCCATGTCTTTAGAGACTGGAGCACAGTGTACCCCTAACAATATAGTTATATAGCATGTACAAGTCTTGAATTTTACCAACTTGGAATATTTTGTACATTCATTCGGGTCATTGGGGATGACTATCATTACTGCATTTGATCTCATCTGATTTAAACAAAATTCATTGAAACTAGGTTAATGACTTTTTAACGTTATTAACTATATTCCAAACTGGCCAATGTCCTATTACGCCCGAGACACGTGTACTTGTTTATGTCCATTAGTAATTGAAAACATCGCACTCTGATACATGACTTATCTGCAGGTAATTTCTTAATAACTTTTGTGTAACAGTGGAAATATTAATAAGTCTTTAAAAGTCTTATTCTAATATACTGTATTTGTCAGGTTTATATAAGTAAATATACTTTATCTAATTCAATAGAACTGATAGGAGAGGACAGCTATAATGATTGCTGATGTTTTTATGCTGTTTGGTTTTAATCAAATGTAGAAGAAGGATTGTTATTGCTATGAAATATGATCTTTGTCATGACCTGGACGGAGAGAAAAAAAATATATTTGAAGACAATAGAAAAATAATCTGGAATTTTTCTGGAATATTTGTTTTTAGTGACCTTATAACTTGATATGCAGTCAATAATTGTGATAAAAAGCTGATGATATAGCCATATTGTGATATCATTGTTGTCTTAGCATTTCACTTATGACGTCATCAATGTTATATATATATATTATTCCACATGTTCTGACATCACAAGGGAAAATTTGGCAAACTTTGAACAAAAGTAATAGACACCAAGTATTTACAAAGTGAATGTCATGGTGTTTTTTTTTAGTTCGCTAAACTTAAATTATTACATTTTGATTCTACGATGAATGTTTTCAAATTAATGAAGTGAGAAAATCATGATTGTCTACAACCGTCGATATGGAAAACTTACATATTATATTGTGCATTAATTATTCCCATCTCTGGTACATTTATATGACACACGTCAATCATAACAGTTTAGTTACGGAAACTTTTTAAATCTTCATTGTAATGAAGAACAGTTTAATGTGATATTTAATGTGTATGTGAAGAAAGCATTTGATAACGAATCTCTGGGCGAACTATGTACAAGAAAGACTATTAACAAGGGAGATAACAACAGACACGCTTGGTCGCTCATTGTTTCTGTTTACTGTTGACTTCGGCCTAAACAATGTTATATACAAGTGAATGTTATAAATACAGAATATATTGTTTATGTACTTCTCTCTTTATGCAAAATAAAAGCTCAACTATCGATATAAATCCTATTGTATTCCCTGCTTTTGCTCTAGTACATGCAGACGGCCAGAAGAGTGAATTAAATTCTTAATATCATCAATTATAATATATCGTGCCGCTGATTTCAAAATGCTTGCATGCTGTGTAAGTTGTAACGTCTTGTCTATTCAATATTCAATGTTTGTTTTTCGTTGTGTTATTCAGAGCTACGCCATTTGAAAATCATTCATAGCATTTATAAAGTTTTCTATTAAGATATGAGAAAAATAACCAAAGTCGATTGCCACTAAACCCTGAATAAGTAACATATAAGGCGAGAAAATAGTATAGCAATTTCCTACTTGAAGCGTTTACCCTTCATTTGTGTGAAAGAGTGTATGTGTGACCCGGATGTCGTATGCGTTGTCAACACAACAGATGTCTATATTTCAAACAGTTTTCTTGTAGGTAATATTCAGAAACGTGCTCTTTTTAAATAAACTGTGATTTTATCATGTTTTTTTTACAAGTTGTACAATATTGACAGACAATATGTCACGGCGTTGTGACGTCATAATCAAAAGACAGTTCAAAATTACTACGTCACAACATCGAATGAAATTGCATAAATCAATTTGATCTCGTTTAAAATGATAATAAGCTTTACAGTGCAGATAGTTACATTGTCGATACAATATCATCTCTTGAGAATCAGTCGAGCGTTTTTTCACCATCTTTGTGAATGTATATGGTAGATATAGCCGGTGAACTATTGTCCCCGAGGTTACAAGTCACTTTTTAATCTATTTAATAGTGGCACAGTTAGTATATTTTGTTAGAAATCTGAAAATAAACGTTAGGTTCTTAGATGCATTATGTATCCACCAGATATTGATTAAGCAGACTTACGACGTTTTAAATCTGATATATGATATACATATAACTTGTATCGATAAACAATGCTAACACTGCTGACATGTTAACAGAGTCTTATTTCAAAAACAAAGTCGACAAAACTAGGGCAACATAGGAACACAAAAGTCGAAAATATTCTCCATCGCATTAATAGCTCTAGATAATTTACGATTGTTTCGAGTTTAGTTTTGTATCAAGCTTGTGGCGACAGTTTGAATATTTTAACCAATCACTTTTAAGATCTAATGATGACTTAGACAACTGGAGAAAAGGAGAGCGAATTCAAATATTTAGTCTGTATTGTAGTATTACTATTGTTGAAATGGCGTTTGTCTGAACAGAGAGGAGTTGAAAAAAATATTGAAATCTATGTTTTCTACGTTATTATATCAGCTGTCTTGACTTTGCTCAATAATCTTTATGAGAAAAAAATCTGCAATTAAAAATACACTCGCATATTTTCAGTGTAACTGGATTTTTGTCATCTGTGTGAATATTGTCTCATATTTTGTTGCAGTATCCAATGCATATACGATATATACCTATACTAAGCACGTGCTTCCTACGGTCTTCATCGAGTACCTTGTCTGAACTCTTGCCTGTTTGATTCATGTGGAGGTGCGAATAGTGTATAGTATATCAAATCAGCGATTTCAATGTCAAACAAATGTTGACATCGGCTTCTATTATCATAATGTTATCAGATGGTTTGCATATTTCATTGTGATGAATTAAAACAAGTGTTATAGATTTATGGATTGGTTATGTCGTTTAAACGTGACCATGTTACAGTTTATATACCGTAATGTTTGTTATTTTCGGTAGTTTCAATTTGTCACTTGTCAAGGATAGAACTAGATAGCGAAAGATAGAAATATTGATAATTATACTGTGAACTGACTAATTTTCGTGTGGGGTTTATTTTCATAGATTCAACGGGTACTCTCGATCCATGAATGAATTTGTTCACAAGCTATGAAAATAAGTATATATAACTTTATTTGACTGTACACGAAATCAAGTACCCACGAAACAGTGATTTTTGGAAAAACCACGAAAATTGAATCCTACGAAAATATATTATCCTTCCATATTCCATAACTTCCGTGAAAAAGAAATCATCCTTCGTGCTTCAAGCTTTTGGTACAAGTGTGAAAATGTGCTTCAGAAATAGCAGCTTCCGTGTACAGTTTTTCCTTCAGTCGTGAAAGTTGAAAAAATAAATATACTATTTACAATCGATGTAAATGTACTGAGATGTTTTAACATTGCATTAAAACTGGTCTAACTTTTTCAAACAGCCTAAATTATCATATGACCTCTCTATTTTGTGTACTTGATTCATAATTCTAGTAACAAGCCAAATTTCATTTTGCTATGTACAAGTTCATTCCAAAACAGCATGTTTATTTCTTATCGTCAAATGGGTGTATCTTTATACACAGAAATATATTTGTATGTATACAGAGAAACCTTGAACTGTAACAGGTTGGTGAACTTGGAAAGGTGCTTCGTGGGTTTGTTTTGATTTGTTATGTAGATGTTTTTATAATAATATTGATTGATGCTTTGTACTTAATTTTTTATTGTCGAGTCAATTTTCTCTAATGTTGATTTATTCTGCAATTCCATAAAATTATTAAAACAAGAGCAAATACAGTTCTCACTAATTGAAAACGCTCGTGATCTCTAAAGGTGTCACCGATTTGATTTAAACACGTGTTATAAGCAAATCGATTTAAACACGTGTTATAACCAAATCGATTTAAACACGTGTTATAACCAAATCGATTTAAACACGTGTTATAACCAAATCGATTTAAACACGTGTTATAACCAAATCGATTTAAACACGTGTTATAACAAAATCGATTTAAACACGTGTTGTAACCAAATCGATTTAAACACGTGTTATAACCAAATCGATTTAAACACGTGTTATAACAAAATCGATTTAAACACGTGTTGTAACCAAATCGATTTAAACACGTGTTATAACCAAATCGATTTAAACACGTGTTATAACCAAATCGATTTAAACACGTGTTATAACAAAATATTTTCATGTACTAAGTCACGACAGATCCAGGAAATATTTATCGAGTGATTTATATTTGGTATAATTTGATTTAATAAATTCGACGAATTGCAGAATAAACAGACCTGACTGTTATTGTACATAGATACTGCGAGAAGGTGTGTGTCAGAATAGACTGGACGATCCGTCTAATTGTAAACTCTCTCTACTAAGCCATATTCTTTTGAAGCGAAGCTTATCA